AAGCTTATAGTATTTTATCACACATTTATATCATGGCAAATATATATATCATATATATATATATGAGTATTGATTTGCCCCTCCAAACCGATAATTAGTTCCCATTGTTTTTTTTAAACAATATTATTATACTATTATTATAATTTTTATTATATCGAATACATTATACAAACATCGATTTAATGCATATATGACCTGTATCACCACTGACTTGAAAAGTTTTTAAGAACTAGACATAAATGGTGTATTGTAGACGTACGTTTAGAACTTATGCATTTATACTAACAACTAACATAACTAATTATTAAAAACTGATTTTGGTCAAAAAATAAAACAGTTCAAAATAGTGTATAAGACAAACAATGTATCATGTTGGTCGTGTCGTTCTTAATTTGATAATTTCCATTTCTTTTTTTATATCATCTAACTCTTTAGCGTTATATAAGGCCTGTGCTTCGCGCGCACAATTCCAATTCTTGCGTCATTTTAGTCGTTTCCGCCAACTCTGCTTCGCATATTTCATTCTTGGACATGAGTTGTTGCATCATTTACTCCGAATCAGATTTTTCTTTTTCATTCTGCGGTTTAAATAATCAAAATATATACGTCATTAGTTGGTCTAAAATAATGTATTTATATGAATTTAATAGTCAATAAAAAAGGTCACACAACTTGACATTTTATTCTTTGAAGTATATATTTAATACATTAATATTAAGCAGTTATCAGCTGACAGTTGAACAGTGAACATGTTACGGCGTTACTTATTTTTATTTAAATACAAGTGACTAGTAAAAAACTTATTTTATACCTACTTAATATCTTCGGTTTATTTATTTCAATTTTGATCTAATTCGTGAATTTTATCATTATGTCTAAAGTTAATAAATCTCCTATTCCTAATTTGCCTAGCAAAAATGAACCCACATTAACTGATATTATGAAAATATTAAAATCTCAGGATAATTAACTGAGCACAATATCTTCTAAATTAATTATTAATGAAAATAAAACTGATGTTATCATGATCAAACTAGAGGAACTTACTTCAGATATCGCTAAATTAAGAAAAGAAAATGAGGAACTTAAAACACAAATCGACACCTTGCGTACACGTGTTAACGTTTTGGATACATCTACAAATAATAGAAAAGGTAATGATCTAGATCTACAAACCATACTCCTAAAAGTACATGAACGTACGGAAAAGTCGAATAATATTATTATTTTCAATGTTGAAGAAGAGCTTACTAATAGTGAGACCAATCCTGTTAATCGTGCTGATATTATTCTTAAGGAACTTGATTTAAATATATCAATTGTACATACAGCTCGATTAGGAAAAATGTCTTCGAAACCACGTTCTTTAATGGTTAAATTAAAAAGTACATCGGAAGTTATGTCTGTTCTAAAAGCGAAGAGGAAATTACGTTCAATTGATTCACTTAAACATATATTTATCGGTACTGATTTAACGACACTACAACGCACACATTTCAACGATATCAAACACCAATTAGAGGAAAAGCGTAAATTAGGCGAAGACGGATGGTTCATCAAATACATCAATGGTACCCCCACTCTGGCGAAAAAAAACTCAGGAAAGTAGCTGCGTTCGCAGCTATACAACATCGTAATATAGTAAATATCCATCATTATAATAATGTAAATAATTTTAATCATAATTATGTAAATACTTGTCACAAAAAATCCATTAATAATTTAATAGGTTTTTATCAAAATGTAAGAAGTCTAAATAATAAACTTCGATGTTTAACGTGTAATGTCCCATACAATAGTTATGATTTTCTAATTTTAACAGAAACTTGGTTAAAAGCCGATGTGTTAGACTCTGAACTTGGTCTCTACAATTATAATACTTTTAGATACGATAGAAATGTTCTTACGAGTAAGAGAGGTCGTGGTGGAGGAGTCTTAATATCTATACATAATAAATATGCCTGTGAATTAATCAGCATTCCATATGAATCAGTCGAACAGGTATTCGTATCTGTCAGTATTAATAATAAGAAACTCATTATCGGTGCTTGTTACATCCCAGAGACCAGTCCTTTATCTGTATACGAAATGCACGTAGATACGGTTAATTGGTTATTTACAACATTTGGTGATAACCTAGATATAATTATTGGGGGGGACTATAACTTTCCTAATACGTTCTTTTCACATGACCACACCGGTCTAATTGTAAACGGACTTCGATCTTCGTCAGTCAACGTTATTTTTAACGGATTTTCAACTTGTAATGTATCTCAGTTTAATAATTTACGTAACTCCTTTGGGAATACATTAGATTTAATTTTTTCTACGTTAGATTTAGTAGCGGTTGATTTATGCTCCAGCCCTCTTGTCCCTGTAGATAAACCTCATTCTCCATTAATTATAACTTGTGAATTTACTGGAATTAAAAATTTGCCTAAACTGCCAATGGTTCAAAAAAAAAAAAATTTTAGTAAAGTCAATTTCGAAGGTATTTCATTAGCTTTGAATAATATCCATTGGGAAAAATTATTTTCCGATATAAATATTGATATAGCCGTCGATAAATTTTATAATGTGGTAAATTTAATATTAGACAAGTATGTACCTATAATTAATGTATATAAACCAAATTTTCCTCATTGGTTTGACGGTAATTTACGTAGACTGATAAAAAAAAACGTGTAGCACATATGATTTATAAAAAAAACCCTTGTCCAGCGACATATGCATTTTTCTCAGAACTTCGAGCGAAATGTAAATATTTCTCTAAACAATGCTATGATCGATATCTATATAATATTCAAAATAATTTGTCTACCAATCCTAAAAACTTTTAGAGTTTCATTAGGGAAAAAAGACAAACTAATGTGTTACCATCCTCTATGTCTTATAATGAAAAAAATTTTGATAACAACAAAACCATATCTAATGCATTCGCTGATTATTTTTCTTCGGTTTACAAAAAATCACAATTTCCTGCTTCTCAGTCTTCCGAATTTATATCTCAATCAACAGTTAATATTTCATCTATACATATTTCGTTAGCTGAGGTCTTTGAGGGTCTTACAAATATGGGTCTAGATAGCACATATGGGCCAGATGGACTACCCCCTATTGTCCTATCTAAATGTTGTTATTCTTTAGCACGCCCAGTGTTTGCTTTGTTTAATAAATCACTTTCTGTAGGTGTTTTTCCAACTCTATGGAAAACCAGTTTCGTAATACCTGTATTTAAATCCGGAAACCGTAATTCAATAAGTAACTATCGCCCAATCTCAAAATTAAGTTCATTGCCAAAACTTTTTGAAAAGCTAATAGAGCCAAAGTTATCATGTTCATTTATTAACATTTTAATAAATGAGCAACACGGTTTTCGACCACAAAAATCAACTGTTACAAATTTGGTAGTGTACCTTAATAATGTGCTCGGAACAATGAAGAATAGAGGGCAAGTGGATGCAATCTATACGGATCTTAGTAAGGCTTTTGATTCAGTTAATGATCCTATATTATCATGGATAAGATCTTTCCTTACTAATAGATTCCAGCAAGTTAAAATAATAGATACAATATCGTCTTCTTATAAGGTTAATTCAGGCGTTCCACAAGGGGGACATCTGTCCTCCCTATTATTTTTGTTATTTATGAATGACGTTAAAAGTATATTCCGATATTGTAAATTTTCTCTATTCGCTGATGATTTAAAATTATACCTAACAATAAATTCAATAGATGATTGTGTTAGACTACAAAAAGAGTTTCATCGTTTCTCTAATTGGTGTAAAGAAAACCACTTAAAAATTAATGTAAATAAATGTGCGCAAATTTCATTTACCAGGAAAAATAAACCGATTTTACATAATTATTCATTAGACAACCATAAAATCAAAATAGTCTCTTCTATCAAAGACTTAGGTATCATACTATCATCTGATCTTACATTTTCTGAACATATATCATATATTCATAATAAAGCGATGCGCATGTTAGGGTTTATTAGGAGACAATGTTGGAACTTCAATAATATTCAATGTCTCAGAACTTTGTATTGTTCGCTAGTTCGATCAAATATTGAGTATGGGTCCATATTATGGAACCCATCGCAATCTGGTTATATAAATAGTTTAAATAAAATACAATCCTACTTTTTAAGATATTTGTCAAATAAATTTGCTATTCATTGTACAATTGATGAACTTGCGTCAAATTTAGGTTTAAACACCCTGTCTTCCAGAAGAAAATTTTTTTGATATCTCTTTTATTTACAAAATATTAAATAATCAAATTAAATGTCCTGAAATTTTGGGGGAAATAGATTGGTTGGTCCCTACTTTTTACTCAAGATCTAAATTAACTTTCAATGAGCCATTCCACTCACAACTATATTGTTTTAATGGACCTATATGTCGTATGCTTCGAAATTGTAATGAATTTAATTTCGATTTTAATTTTGATGAAGAATCTAAACTTCGGCTTTTATGTCTAAGTTTCAAATAGAAAATCACCAAACTGTATTATGTACAACTCTAATATAAATAAGTAATTGTAGATAGTTAAAATTATATATAATTGTTAGTTTTTAAAATACACAAACATAGAAATAAGTAATTAAAATTAAATACTACTATTAGATATTATTATTTATTATTTATTATTATCATCATTATCATTATAACTTATATTTATAATTTTTGTAAAACATGCTGAAACTCAATTGCTCTATATGGGCGTTAATAAACTATTATATATATTTTTACTTTTATCGAATAATTAATATTTATATGAATTTATGTACAATATATATTAATTACACTAATTACCGTATATATTTAATACATTAATATTGATTATATTAAAAATTAATAATCAATTATATCATGTAAATGCATGTTTTGCATAAGCGGCTTTTGCCTTAAATAAGTTTTTAAAATCAAAATTATTTTCAAAGAAGACAAAAACTAGACTATATATAGCAATAATAAGACCGACGCTCACCTATGGCTGTGAAGCTTGGATTACCACCAGCACAACCGAAAGAAGACTTAGCACCTTTGAATATAGAATTTGGAGGACAATATGTGGACCATCTTATGATAGCACCAATGCAACATAGAGAAAAAAATAAAATAAAGAACTACAAAACGAATTGGGAATGGCGCCAGTTACCAACTTTGTAAGAGGGCAAAGAATCCAATGGTTAGGACACGCGATGCGGAGGAACGAGGATGATATAAATAGAACAATCCTAAATTGGAAACCAATAGGAAAGATACCACGAGGAAGATCCAGAAAAAAGAGGCTGGATGTTGTGGAAGAAGTCCTTGAAAGACTGGGAGTACAGGAATGAAGGTAAGTAGTTCAGGACCGTGAAAAATGGAGAGATATTGTGATGGCGGCCAAAATTCTTAGAGAGTAATAAGTGCCAAAGGAAGAAGAAGAAGAAATGCATGTTTTAAACTTACCGAAACATTGAAAGTATAGTTGCTCTTTAATCTGGTTCATGACCAACTCTCTAGCATTGAATTGTTCTAAATACTAGTTTATATTAAATATATATATATATATATATATATATATTATACATATCGTTTTTATTGATTTAATAAATTATAAAAATAAGTCCATAAAGTTAAATAGTATAAAACGTAGTAAAATAATTCGTAATTATCATGGTAAGAACTTATAATTAATATTTAAAATACTATTAATAATCGTGGTGATGAGTTTATCGATGTTGTTTGATAGCGAAAATTATGTAGCCAAGTCTCAATCACACACGTAACATGCAATCGTAGAAGAATTATATTGCAACATATCAATTGACATAGTGATAACTCGTTTTTGGCCTGAACATGTTCAGGCGTAATATCCCCTTAAGAATTTTGAAAGATTTAAATTCGTTATGGAATCTGTATCCAAATTTTTAATTCTGTAACGTCCATTCTGTGAGTGTTATATTATTTCTTTGTAACAAACAATTATTTAAATATTTGAAACTGATGAGGATATTTTTTGCACTATACAAGGTTTTTCTTCATATTTTTATTTACTTGTATTGTTTTTTAAGGTAACACTTAATTCGAGAAATAATAAATAGCTATAATTAATAGGTATAAATTAACAGAAATTAAAATAATATATTATTATTGTATAACGAAACTAATATATATATATATATATATATATATATAATATATATAAATATAATATATTTAGTTATATATTTGATATATTTTTTCTTTTTTAAAGGGTTGACATATAGTTACTAATTTTATACACAAGTTACGAAATGTTTTTAGAACTTTATTTAGCATTTGTATAGTAAGGATTTATTTTGAATCGTCTCCTAAGATGTAGATGTTGTTAGTGATGCTACAACTGTAAGTCGCTCATTACTACACATTCGCTAATAACGCATGGGATAACGCGGTCTGATCTTAGAATAATTGATGGTCCAACACCGCCATACTTTTTTTATGTACATCAGGAACGCATATTTTATACGTATATTTTTCAAGGTTATTGTCTCTTATTGATTGATAAAATTAATAGCAATATTTGTAAATTTGCAGTTAGTTACATTTGGTCTTCTGATCTTTGAAGCATCGCACGAGATGAAACTTTTATGTTTATGAACGAAGAAATAGTTCAATTACTTTGAAAAACTATAACTTTCGTTGCCATTGAACCAATAAATGTTCATCGTTTTTTTAAGGATACTATCCATCTTCGACAATCCCACATCATAAATGCTACATTAAAAACGATAAGTTACATACAGCGCCATAGAAGTGTTTTACCTGTGATACTTATACATAATAATTATGATATATTTTCTGGCTAATATTTATATTACGGTTGCAAACCGATATCACAACGATCCATGACGACCATAACTAAGTTGATGTCGATGGAAAGAATCATACTGAATTCAGATATTATTTTGTTTTTGAGCATACCATAATTCGTTCTGCGTTAGATATTAAAATACGAGAATATAAACGGATAACTAAGTTAATTAAATCGATCTCAAGTTATTGATTACTAGCGATGGGCAACAATGTAAGTATTTAATCAATATTTTATGCTGCTACTGAGTATATACACTGTTCTTGTGTTATATATTCTGACATTGTTTTCACACTTTACGATTTCAGTCGAACGATGTTCGAATTTTAATGCCCGAGGAGTCGTGGTATCCTCTAGGATGCGATTTGACGGCTCGGGATGAGCAGTTTTTTGAATTGGTGGAGACGTGCGATCTGTTGGGGGTCGAACAGTTTTTGGCCAACAATCGGGTGAATTTAAAAACATGCGAAATTACCAAGGAATCACACCGTTGCACTTGGCCATAAAAAACGACTGCGAATCACTGGTCAATTTATTTTTACGTCAGAGAGGCAAGTTTTGTAATATTATTGTCTACGTCCGAATCTGTTTTACTAATAGGCACCTGTAATAGAACTTATTAGAAATCCATATGAGAAACCACCGATAATTGTGGTATTCAAAGCAGTTCTTACTGTCGAAATCGTGTACAAAGATGCGGAGAAATAGAAATCATATCGTGGTATAATTTAAACTAGGAACCTAAAATGATTCCAAGCTAACCGGAACCACGGTCGCCGTTATAATAACAAGTTTTCGTTATTCCGCGGTAATTATAAATGTCTAAGGCACATGGTATAAGAAATCGTTTTAAGCCCGTAACACTCGCACGAAGGGATCGGTCGAATGTTGCGCCGAGATTTCTATTTTTACCAGCAACAGTTTAACGAAACGGTGCGTTGTCCCGCAGGCGTCCAGATAGGTGACTCGGTGTTGTTCGCCATAACAAATGACACCTTAAGACTGTTGGTGAAACTTTTGGATTACGAGGAGAACAGAACCGACGGCAGCGACGTGGCAAGCGACCGTGTTGTCGATGAGTCCGAAGAGTTCCCACCGTCGATGAAGCCGTTGCTGTTGGCCGCGCTATGCGGCCGATACGAGACCGTCGACTTTTTGCTGAACCGCGGCCACAAGTTACAGCGGCCACACCCACCGCAGTGCATGTGCGAGGAGTGCTTAGCCATAGACAACGTGGTGGCCGTAGGCACTGAGAAGCTCAACACGTACCGAGCACTCAGCAGCCCCACGTACCTGTGTTGCACGTCGGCCACTGAACCGATCCTGGCGTGCTTTAGATTGCACTGTACCTGGCGTGGGCCGCGGCCGGTCTCCAGGCGCGCTGGGTGGACGACGACTTGGACCGCAAGTATTGGCACTGAGCCGATCCGCAGCTGGTGGCCGAAGGCCTGTTCGCCGTGGCCACGGTTATGGCGTACCTGCGGCTGCTGTTCCTGTGCCGGCTGAACTATTACATAGGCCCGATGCAGGTGTCGTTGGGCAAGATGCTGAACGACTTCGGCAAGTTTGCCACGTTCCTGGCTGTCGTAATGGTAGCGTTCACGTGCGGCCTGGGCACGTTGTACAGCCCGTATAAGGACATGGAGCGCAAGGACCCGGAGACGGGGCAGGTGACGCGTCAGGAGGACTCGTTCGTCACCGTGGCCGACATGTTCAAGACGTTGTTCTGGGGCATATTCTGCATGACGCCGCTGGAGGCACCGAACGTGGTGGTCGGCAGCGCCATAGCCGGCGGCGACGCGGACGTGGACGTGCAGAGTCACGATTTCACGCAGCTAGTGGGCTACGGGCTATTCGCCACGTTCGAAGTGATGATGGTGATCGTCATGCTGAACATGCTCATCGCCAGCATGTCGGACACGTTCCAGCGGGTGGCCGACAACTCCGATTATGAGTGGCTGTTTGGCCGCACCAAGGTGTACCTGGACTACATGCTGCTGGACGATCTGCCGCCACCGTTCGATTTGTTGCCCACCGTAACCGGAGTGATGCGCGTCATGCGGCGTCTACTGTCCGTCTCGGCCGGTTTCGAAAAGTTTCGCGACTTGGCCGATGGCGATGGCCACCATCAGGCAGAGTATCGCGCGCTCATGGTCGAGCTTATAAAACATTACTTCATCCGAATCGCGTAGATAGACCGATCCGAATAGTTTTTCTTTTTTAGAGGTTTTCTGAATCTTTATATATATAGAATGTTATCGCACATTGCTTACATTTATAAATATACTTATTTTTGTTTTCGTTTACACATGGCCTTAACTTTATTTTAAAAACAGTTGTTCAGACTTGTAATTACACGTTACCAATATATCAGCACGAATATATTTATATCATTATATACTTATTCACATTTATTTCACATCTAAAGCAAATAGATTTTATGTTATATATTGAATATCAAACGAATCTCGTGAATAAGATGTTAACATATGTACTCAAACCGTTTAGGAAAACATTTATTGTTATTTACTCTAAGAAATTTATCAAATTAAATATTTAATTATTGAGTGTTGGATATATTATTATTCTGAATTATTTATAATAGTTAAGGTACATAGGTACTGTAACTCAGCTGTACAACTCAAATGATTTTCCAAGAGCCAACGATGTAAATGGAAACTCTTACCCATTACATATTTCTCTTTTCACTTAATATAATTGGTATCCCTATCCCCTATTACATATTACATATTAAATACCCCTTGCAAATAGATGCGATTTTCTTTTATTATTCAATCAACATGCATATTACACAAATATGTACATGGTAATTGGGAAGGAACTTATTGTCTTTAAAAATGTTTATTTGAAAACCATTTTTTTTTTTACTTTATTTTACATTAACAATATATGTACAATTATTTGCATAATAAGTTTATATGATGGGAGAACAGAATGGCATGAAGTTATGGAAAACCAAAAATGGTTGATTAAGTATCCATCCATCTAGACTAATTATTAAATGTGTTTTTCCTAGAATAGCATTAGGAATCGGTATTTAGTTATTTAACAAGTCAAGATATAATTTACTTTTTAATGTGTGGATCGGATTTCCTAGGATCGTAGATGGAGAGATATTGAATAAGAAGCTTTGGATGGTTCTGGGTTTTTTTTTCATCAAAGCGTCAATATAAAATTCGTTCTTCCACTTATATTTTCTTTGTATGAAAATCATTATGTAACATTAAATTAGAAATATATGACGCATTTGAAAGCGTTTTAATTTGTTCAAGTGGTATAGTTTGAAACGCTTGTATTCTGTAAGTGTTATGTTTTTTTGCCGGGCCCCATACATTGGCTTGAAAATACCTGAAAATATCTGGCCCTATTAGTTACCTTAACTAGCCAGATCTCAGAATTAATAATATAATCATTTTTCATAAACAGATTTATTTTATATAGTCATAGTATTGTAACCGTTTAATATTGTAAAATATAGTACATTAACTTATATTGATTATTAATGTTATTACTATTTTTACCGCTTAAATCTCATTTTTTTATGGCTTTACTTTATAACTGTTGGCCTTCTATTGGTTCTAACTACAAAAAAAAAAAATCCTGACGTCACCACTTCGTATATTGAAAAAGGTCATCAAAAGTTTTAAAGGAACTCCATATGGGCAATTCGCACGCACTCGTGCTGTATTTGTATCGTATACGTCAGGACCGCTGCAGGGATTATTCCTACTCTACAACAATTATAATTAATATATAAATAAGTAGTTTATAAGTACAAATAAATGAATAAATTATTGCTAAGTCTGGAGTATTATTAAGTTTTTAATGTAAGACCGGTTTCGAATTAAAAATTCATAATCAGTATATACAAAGTTAATAAAATCGCGTGAAAAATGTATTTTTATACATAAACTATATATTTAGAGTTGGACGAGTACTCGAATTTGCGAAAATGTTCGAATGGAGTTCGTAAAAACGAATACTTGATTTTAATCGACTTAAATCGAGTACCCGACTTTGATCAAGTACTAAAGTTCATTTCACTACTTTGTTGAAAAATAAATTGTACAACTATAAATAACCGCGATCCAAAATATTCCCAATAGAAAATATCAGAAAGTTTGTAGGTTCTAACGATATTAATATATTGTTATCGTTTTTATATTTTATTATCATGATAGTCACATTTTATACAGTTTGGTAACCACTTGATATTTTTCTCGATAACTCGGCATTTTTCGAGTAATCGAATTTCGAACCGGGCTCGACATCAAAAAAAACAATAGTCTTCTAACTCTACATTTATTTCTATATTCATTATCTAGTGTTAACAGTTCATTAATTTTTGTTTCCTTTTCTCACTTTATTATATTGTTATTATTTTTAATACCGTTGCCCGTTGATTCGTTATCATCTGAAACGCTTACGGACAGTATTATTACAACACGTACTCGTTCGAATTGAACGCCGATGACGTTTTCGCTGTCAAGCGACGAGGAAATGATTTTCTCTCTAAACGTTATACACGCAAATATTGATAGCTGAACTACTCGGGAATATACCTGACCGTTTCTATTTCGTCGACGTGACGATGTCAACTGTGATAAAGTTATGCGGTTATATTCTATTACGCTACAGCGGTTTTCACTTAATAACCCCAATACGGTGTCCCTAAGTGGACTTTTGCAAATAGATCGCCAGCCACGTGCACATAAATTTATTATCCTGCGATATTGCCACAGGTCGATTTGGGTACACCATCGTTCCGGAGAAATGCCGATCGCATCGATCGAGCCGAACCACCACAATATTTTTCTACAGCGGTGTAGCGGACGCGTTTATTTCCAGACAACCTAGTCAACGTGAATTCGAATGTTTTCGGCTCATCGAGACCGATTCGTCGCATAGTTGCGGTCCGCCCGGCCATGGTAACTGCGATACATTCGTATAACGGAACGTATCGTATACAATATGGCACGCGGATGTGTTTGGGTTGTGATTTTACGGTATTCCGTTTGGTTTGTTATCTACGTAGACGGTTTAAATTCTCTAGTGGACGGGACACCTAACCGTTCTGTTCTCGAAAATGTCGCGGTTTTACGAAGACGTGGGTCGTATGAATGGTTTATCTATAAACGACGATAGATATAATACGGTTAACACCTTCCGATGGACGATCGTCGCGCATTGCTTTCCTTGACAAATACCTACCGACGACGATAAGACTGTTTTTGTTGTTGTTTCCCTACAGCGGTACAAAATTTTCCGTCGACAAGCAACAACCTACACGGATAAATCGACGACTAATTATAAAACTAAACATTTCGTCGCGCGCACCACTGTTAATGGGCTATAACTTTCCACGTCTTCGTTCGCCGTAAACGCGTCGGATATTTCTATACGTACTCGCCCACATTGTCGACAACTCAATTCCTATTCACCTACGGACGCCTTTCTCCTCTTTTATCCTGTTCTTTTAGACTTACGGGCGAATTTGCACACATGAAATACGAGATTCCGGATTCTTTCGGTTGACCTTTGGACTACTGCTACACGTTCCGACGATGTCGTTCCCAATGCGTGATTCACGTGATTTTTATACTCTCTTATTTAGATTGATACACGGGTAAATCGGGTATCACGACATGGTGCACGATTACGGTTCAACTTTGATCATTATTGAATAAATCATATAAATATAATTATTAATGTAAATAATATAGATAACGAACAAATTAATTTGATAAATATCAAAATTCGCCCGAGGGATCGTTATAATAAAAATAATTGGTTATGGATTGTTTATTTCAATGATGACGATTTATTATAGATTACAATTTAATATTGCGTTTGTTAGTTAGACACACGTTTAAAACTAGAATCATCGAAGATTTTCAGAGTTAATTGTTCTATAGTTTCATTTTAAAACTTCTTCGAATAAAATAATCATAATGATTATTATTATTATTTAATTCGATATTGGTTATAAAAAATGTTTTTAAGGAATAGATTGTAAATAATAAGAACGTCTAAATAAAATTTTAAATGATTGAATAAGTTAAAAGTTAACGAAAACATCTTGAATTTGCATTTAGTGAGGCTTACGAATCTAATAGGGTGTGAGATAAATACCCACAGTCAATAAGAAGTAATTGTAAATTATTTCATTATAATTTAAGATTATTTAATTTATATATTATATATGAATATATATATATTTAAAGAAATCATAACAATTCTAATATCTATAATTTTTTCAGATATTTTTTTGTTATATTTTATGTTTGATATGTTTGATTAGTTATACATTTTCAATTACATATACTTGAACACATTAATAATAAAGAAAATACATTTTTTACAGGGCCGGATTTAGGTATGTGGTGGCCCCTGGGCGAAATGCATTGTGGGGGCCCCTTACACATAAATAAGATAATATATTTATTTACTTATTAAATAACATTTATAATCATATTTAGTAGTTTTAATTTAAATTTACTTTAGAGGGCCTAAAAGGTTCTGTATAGCCATCTCATATTTTTTTTCAATGTTAAACTATCCGGGGACAACAAATTCTGGAATGTCATTTAGATTTTCAATTTCATAGTAGTCATTCAAAATTTTCACTCTCATCAAAATTAGCTTATAGCTCTTTTATCTCTCCAACACTAACTGTATAACTTCCTATGTCACTTAGTTCAGAGATATTTCCATCCCATAAATCAATAAGCTCTGCGCGAGTGAGCTTACACATTTTAAAAATATAATGGTCAGTAAATAATTACAATACAATGACGCATAAAACATTCAGTCAGTATAAAACTGTACGCACCGTAACGCACCGAACATGGAACGACAAACAAATAAAAGCATAGCGTGCCGTCGCGCTGAGCCGGTGAGTCCCAATGTACATACAGTGGCGTTTTACGGGGGGGGGGGGGTCCAGGGGTACTGGACCCTCCCCCAGAACCTCTCCAAAAAATAAAAAATTAACAACAATTCTTACATATTTGCAGAATTGGGTACGTTAAACATTCACAGGGAAGTTGAAATTGTACAGTACATACATGCCAATGGCATGATGCCACCTCATACACGTTCTGTAATTTTGCATATAAGATAATGAAACCGATGGGAATGTCTCAATAACCATGTCGGCAATTGATAAAAA